ATAGAGGGCCTCTGTTTAAGGGGAGGTAGTTGATTTTGAGGGACTGTCTATCCTGACACTGTGAACCTTCCAAGAAAAAATGAGGCATTTATAAAGATTTTTTTTTTTGCCAAACTGCATTGTGTCTCCCCATGTCTTTCTCCTCTTGATTTTATCTGTACCTTTGCATTAGGCAGTACTTGGCTGATCTCTGCTTAATCACATTCTGCACTTACAAAAATTAAGGACAGTTTTTCTCCTTAGTAGGGATTCCTTCATACTGGTAGGAAATGCAGTGCTTTCAACAAAATGGACAAAAAATTTTGCAATGTTGGTTTAGAATGACTGAAGTTTCTTTAGCCCATGTCTTTTAGTAGTTACTGCTAGGACAGAGTGTTTAGGCTTAAGGTTAAACCAGTCCTGTAGATACATCTGCTTAGCCTTATTGAAGAAGTTCATCAAACAAGTAGAATTTAATTTCTTCAAGGATTTTGCTTTATAGCATGGAAAGCAAAAGTATGAGTATGTATGGCAAAAGGATTGGGAATTAAAAGAGAGCATTTGGTCCACATTTTTTCCTTCTGGCTTTCAAATCAAAGGTGCAAATAAAATGGCCAGATCATTGTCATAAATTATCATCTGTATTTGTGGACAGCTGTAATTCATCATGCAGGAAGGCTAGGCCAGGAGGAATTGCTTAAGATTCAACAGAGATAGGTGAGAAGTTGTGCTGTGATAATGGTATAATTCCCAAACAGCAAGCAGGCTGTGGTATGATTGGAGGGATGTTGTGCTTAAAAGAAGCTGGGGGGGCTGCCGGATGGCGAACTGAACAATGTGCCCTTGTGTCAATGAAGTCAAACTGATTCTCTGGTATTGGTAGGTGTTGTGTGCTAAGGTGCTGTGTCTTGTTTGTCCCCTGATTTCAAGAGAGATATTTATGAAAAATTGGAGAAGGTCCAGCAGATAGCCACCAGGATGATTTGTATGTTAGAGAAGATGATTAGCATGTCAGAGAACTCAACATTTGGAGAAAAATTCAAGGAAATAGTTTAGATTGGAAAAGACATCTTCAAGTCCATATGTTAACCCAGGTCTGTCAAGTCCCAACCGAAATGATGTTCCTAAATGCCACTTCCAAACATCTTGTAAATATCTCCAGGGATGATGATTCTACCACTACCCCAGGCAGCCTGTTCAGGTGCTTGACAGCCTTTCCAGAGGAGAAATTCTACTAATATCTGATCTAAACCTCCCTCTGTGCACCTTGAGGCCTTTTTCTCTTGTTATTTGTGAGAAAAGCCCAACCCGCACGCTGTTGTAGACAGCAAGAAGCTCTTCCTGAGCTTTCTTTTCTCCAGGTTAAATATGCCCAGCTCTCTTAGGCAATATTCATAATTCTTGTGCTCCAGACCCTTCACCAGCTTCACTGCGTTCCTGTGTACATGTTCTAGCACCTCAGTGGAGAGATAGCTTGGAGAGGTTTCATCAGTCATCCAGTACATAGAAGATAGTTGTGAAAGAGAAGCTGTTTTTTGCTCAGAAGGATGAATAGTGACAGCAGAAATTTAATCTCAGTATGGGGAAAAGGAAGTCCTGGAGTAAGTTTCTGAAAAGCATGGTGGAATCTCCCTCACTAGAGATAATTAAGGCTCATCTTGGCAGCTCCACAGATTACTTGAGCTAAAGCCTTGTTAAAACCTAGTGAAATAAGGTCCAAGAGAAGGTTGGAGACTAGATAATGTCCCAAGACATTCTCCTGCCTAGACTACTCCATGATGCTGCGGTTACAGCTTTTTGTCAGTCTTGGCTCTGGACAGAGATAGCAAGGTTGTAGATCAGGCAGTAGCAAACTGTGTAAATAATGTGGTTACAATTACTGACAGGTACGTGATGGAATATTTTTTTAATATAAATATTGGATTTTTAGTTTTTAAAGCTGAACCAATAAAGAAAATAAAACTTACTTGCATTGCTTTTTTATTTTTGTTCTTTTTAATGTTTCATGAAAGAAAAGGTGTACTGATATGGAAGAAACTTAAAAAGGCAAGGTTGATGCAGTCAGAATTAAAATATCAAGCTATATAAATATTGAGCTAAAGGGAATAATGTATTTATATTATTTGCATTATATGTCATACATGTATATATCTGTGTTGTGGTGCTACGTTATGACAGTCTAGCAGAAGCAAATATGAGGGCTGCAGGTGTTTCACAGGGCTGTTTGCTTTGCTTGCCAGGTAGTTGAAATTAAGCAGTATTTGGTTCAGCTGGCCATATAGCATATGTTGCCTCTCAGGAAGGGGCAGAGCAAAGACAGTTGAGGTACTATATTAGTAAAGCTTGCAGAAATCATAAACATTGGAGAAGCAAGTGTTCTACAGGAACACTAGGGAAGAGCTGTATGGCAGATCTCTTGCGGCAGACGTTGCCACAAAGAAGAGGTATGTGGATTTGGGCTTTTTAGTCTGATTCTGAAATAAGATAACTTGATGATGAACGGATGTCTTCAGTAACCCTGTGTTCTCTTTTCAGTTGTGTATGATGTGATTCTGTATAGTGTCCATCTGTTTTGTATATTTTTGTGTTGTTTACAGTATTTGTATTAGATGCAGAGTAGTCAGGTGAGGTGGTGATATATATTTGCATCTGCACGTTCCAGAAGATGTGGGAGGAAACAGATATGTTGTAGAAAACTGAATGTGTCTCATAACTCTCTTTAACCTCCTTTTTGTGCACCTCTCAGTACAGAGTCTGAGGCAGAATCACAAATGCCTTGCTGTTCATAAAGATCTGGGCTGCAGATGTGTTCTTTTCAGGAGTCTTCAGTTCATGGCAGACAGTCCTTCATAAAGTCATGCTGTTACTGAAGAGCAAAGGAGGAGAGGGGAAAAAAGGAATTATAAAGTACTAGACACATAGGCATATGTCTAGGGTTTTTTAGCAGCTTTTGGTGGTGGCCTGAGCAGAAACCATTTCCCTAGAGTTTTCCAGTTTCTCTCTCTTTCTTTGGTCACACTCTGGAAAATTACTTTGGTGTCTCTTGCAAGAGAAGACTGTATTAATAGTCTTCGAGGTATGCTCTGTCTCCAAATTGTATGGTATATTCTAAGCCCCTGTGGTCTGCCCTGAACCATCATGTATCTGTAATCCCATTGGTCCAAGTGTTCTTCTGCGCCCACTTTGAACTCCCCTCTTAAGATGTGCTAGCAAAATCAGACCCTCTCTTAGCCCTTCTCCCCTCTTGGCCCTTCCATCCCCTAGGCTCTCCTCTCCCCCTCCTTCCCCCTCCCCCTTCCTCCCTTCTCCCTCAATAACCATGCTGTTCCCGGGGATGGGACACCCTATAAACTCTCATCTAATCAGCACCCTCAGAAGCCGTGTGGAGTCTCCTTGCCTGCCTGCTGCTGCCAGCCAACTCACAGCCTAGGGGGCCCTCCGGGGACTCCCCAGGAACCCCCCCTCCCCGAAACGAGCTACAACAGATGTTAGTTCTTTATAAACAATAAATCTTTGGATTTTCTCTCACATCTGTTTGTGAAGGATTCCCTCCAACCTTTTAGAGGAAGGTAATGGTGAAGGCATCTTGAAATTAATATGAGTGTACATTCATCTCAGGTAGTGCTATTGGGAAAGCTAAAGAAGGTTCTTTGAATTTCTTAAAGCAGGAATCCAGGCTTAATTTCCTCCCTGGGAAATGAGAAACACACAAAAAGAAGTTTTCTGCAAACACTTTTACCTTTCAGGCAGTGGGTACAAGACACCTGCAAATTTCTTCTCTGAATAGGATTCTCTGGGCAGCATTCTCCTGCCTTCACCAGAGGGTCACTTTTTCTGTCCCCAGAGTTGATGGCCTGATTCATTAGATAACTGTCTGTTTATCTCAAGAGATGTAGGGTCCTGTACACATAATTATTGATAGTTTGCATATTTAAGAAAGTACTGTATTGTGATGTTGTGGATTAGCCACAGTAGGTGGGCAAGTCCTTCCTCTGACTACTCCTTCAGTCTCCAAACAATGGATGGGGCAAAGAACTCGAAGGGTAAAAGTGAGAAAATTCATAGATTGAGATAAAGACAGTTTTATAGGAGAAGTAAAAGCTGTGCACACCAACAAAGCAAAACAAGGAATTACAATACTCAGCTGTCCTCAGGAAAGCACAGTTTCATTGCGTGTAATGGCAACTTGGGAAGACAAGCACCATCGTTCCACACATTCCCTGTTTCTTCTTTTCCAAGTTTTTATTGCTGAGTGTGTCATCATGTGGTTAGTTGGCAGTCCTGGCTGTGTGCCCTCCCAGGTTCTTGTGCACCCCTGCCTGCCTGCCTGCTGTCAGGGCAGCACATGGAAGCAGGGGAAGCCCTTGACGCTGTGTGAGCACTACTCAGGAGTGTTAGTGATGCTATTTTCAGCACAAATCCAAACCCTACAAGCTACTACAAAGAAAACTGACTCTCCCAGAGAAAACCAGAACAAGTAGTCAAAGCTGTTGCTGCTGCAGATGATAGTTTTGATCTTTGTGTTTGGTTGATACACCATTATATTGTCAATATCACAGAGGATATGTTGAGGTTGTCCTGCCTCTTTCTCTTTTCACCATTTTGACATGGTTTTTTGGTTGTGTTAATATGGATACGCTTATGAAGGTAATTTTTAGCATTTCAAGGAAGTTAAACCAAAATCATTAAAATCTCAATGTATGGAGTTGGGTTGACTCTGCTTGGTGTAATGAGTTGCTGACACATCCTGTTAATGCACGTGGCTCCTAGTCATCTGTTGTTTGAACTTAAGGGGTAAATAAAACTGGAAGGTGGTTGCTGTGCTACTGTATCAAACTTCAGAGCAGACTGCAGTCATGTATGTTATCAGCAAGTTCTACCACCATGTGGTAGTGTACACAGATCTACTGAGATTCAGGACTTTAGGATCGTTGCCAGTTTCTTTGTATTCTAAGTAGTTACATCTGCTCTTCTAGCGTTTGTTAATCCCTTCCTGTGCTTCTTTTCTCTGCCTTTTGCAGTGGTGTAGTGCATGCTCTGGACAGCTAGGTAAATTTTCTTGATATTCTGGTAAGTCTTGGTAAGTCTGTGTTAAATGCATGAGAAATTTTAACTTTAAAGTTAAATTTAAATTTTAACTGCCATTTTAACTTCAGCAGAGCGAGAGAGGCTTTAAAGATATTTAATGGCAATAAGCACATACTACTAAGCGGGTTCTCTGATCCTAAATTTCTGATCTCTAACATAGAATTGCTGTCTTTAGCATGGAGATGCTGTAGCTGCTCATTAACATCATCAAAACTGAGTGCAAGATGCTGTCTCTGAACCTTCTTATACTAGAGGCAGACATTTTCAAAACCGTTCAGTTTGGAGCAGACTGGAAATAATAGCCTTTCAGAGCTGAAGTTGGGTAAACCAATAAGCACTTAAAAATACGGTCTTTTAAGTGAGGAAAAGTGAAGTACAGCCTTAATTGATGCAGTTGTTACTGATGCCATCTGTAGTGCCCTAAAAGTGGGAAAAGATAAAATCTAATTAGAGAGAATATACTGCTAAGATAAATTATTGGATTTTTTTGCTTTATTGAGCCAATACTGATGAGGGACTCGAGGCAAACTGTCACCCAGTCATCTCTTTGAAGAAAAACTGGGTCTTAATCAGTCATCAGCCACATTATGCAGATCTGACCAATACTTGTTCCTAGCTTGCTTGGGATGTCAGTTTACAAAGAGTAGGACTCTCATTCTATTTTAATAAAAATATATAGTTAAGGAGTGCAGTATAAAGAAGTGTTCTGGTAACTCCTCCTCATATTGTGTCCAGCTAAGTCTGAAGGACTTGTGCTGTTTGAAGATGCATGTGTGTTTTCTTCTTATTTCTGTCTTGTTAACACTGCAGTAATTTATAACCTTTATTTGGAGTATTTGTAATATTGACTTAGCTTCAGGTATTTCTAATTTAGCAAAATCACATACTGTGGTTTTTGTCACACTTCTGTCTGCATTTGCACAATGAAGAGTATTTTAAGTATGTTGAAACCTGTGTATGTGTGCCATGTGTACGGATATGATGTGGTGTCATATGGTGTTAGTTTGATTTTAAAAATATGACTGTTATGCCATCACAAGGTCTGTAGTCCAAACATCCAATACCACTTTACGGCCAAGAACATGAAATACATGTATGTTCTCTTATGTGTGCGTTTTTTAAAAATGAATTTATTGACTATTTGTTTTGAGTCTACTAGTTTCTGTAATTACATAAGCAGGCATATAATGAAAATGCAGCCTCATTGGCTCACGTGAAACCATGAAACCAGAATATTTCTGTGTCAAATTATTTTTAATTGTTGCTGGGGATGGAGTTAGAGGCACAGGATATGTATAAGATACTTTGTATCAGAATACCTACATTTTCATGCAAGTAAATATACATAAACTTATCTGCTGTAACTATTTCTTCAGGTGAAATAGTAACTTGTGCTTTAGGAACTATGCTTGCTGTGTGTAGCTAGTTAAAAAAACCACAGAGGTGTTTTCAAAAGACTCATCCAAGTAATTGTATGAATAACATGTCTAAGCATAGCAGTGCAATAACAATAAGGCATTTAAAGTCTGTATTTATTACAAGAAACTTGGTGGCATTTAGGAACTATGTGAAGTCGTCAGTATATGCAGTTGAAGATCTGGGATTTGAAATTAATACCTAGAATAAACTGCAGTTTGAAATTAGTGCCTAGAATAAACTACAGCTCTTGCTTTGCCTCTGTGAAACCACTCAGAATTTCATAATTTTCCAGTGTTTGTTTTTGTATCATCAGTAGTGGATTTGGCACCTCTCTGTCAAAAAACAGAGATCCAACTCTCTCAAGTAATTTCTTCTCTTAGTTAATTAAACAAGTATCAGTGAGGGATTCAAAAAAATCCTGTATTCAAAGAAACAATGCATAACGTACTGTGTACTTGTTCCATCCTCATTATGATATCAAATCCTGCCTCCAGTGGCTGCTGAAACAATTTTTTACTTTGTCAAAAAGAATTGTAAATTCTCTCTCTCAAAGCTTAATTCAGATTTATTTATTTTGGTGCTTTTAGCTTTGCAGTTGAACTGTTACCTACTCAGGGGCAGGGTTTTCATCCAATAAAGGAAGAAGAATGGTATCTATGACAGAGACAAGAATGGCAAAGATTCCTAGTCTCTGCATTGATTTATCTGATCAGGGGACGGGGTCTCGTTTTCCAAGGTAAATCTGTTCATATAGATTTTATGTTTCTTCCCTTAGCTAAGAACAAATATTTGAGGACCTGTATGTATTTTGGTAAGTGCATTAATTTACTTGTACCAAATTATGAATTTTCAAATGTTGTATAGGGAGAACCACTCAATTTCATATGGCTAGAGTAATTTTAATCTGGGCTATTACAAAACACTATCATTGTCATTTTTTAGCACTTTGAATGATTTTAACAGAAATTACTTTCTTTTCTATATGCTTTACTAGAATATGCTGGAATTTATTAGAATATACTGCTATGTAGAATATAGTGCTGCAAATGTACAAACAAGTTGGAAAAGATTTTGTATTTGGTAGTCTTTTTTCAATGGACTGCTTGGAAGCATATGAGGAAAACATTTAATACCATCCATGTGTGGGAATCAACATTTGTAATAATAATTATTAATATTTACATTGACAACATTATAGGCTAGAAAATGCACAGAAAAATCTCAGTGGTTTTGCTGCTATTTTTGTAATTGCTTTTGTTATGATTGGTGACTAAAGGTTTAGACAAAAGATGCACATTTTAACTGAAACATGTCATAATTTATGAAGTACTCAGTATGAACAGACCTTTCCTTTCCAACTCCTTTGAAGTTGTGTCTTTAAAGGACTCTTGTAAAGTGTGTTGCTGTTTCCCATCAGCTTTGTCTGAACAGCCTTTACCAAAGGAAGGTGTCAAAGTCTGCCATAGTTCCAACTCGTAAAATCGATTATTGGACTTCCTAGACCCCCAGGTTTAAAAGACCAAATCACAACAATCCTTCAAACCCTCTCCTTAGTTAATAATTAACACCCCCTTAAATTGCTGTATTACTCCTTTAATAGACAAGAAAATGTTTAATAGGTTTTCTCTATGTAGAATAGAAAAGTAGTCTTTATTATGCTAAATTTATTTTTCTTTTCTGCTGTCTATAGAATGAACTACTGTTACTTAATCATTTTGGGGTTCTTTCTTGCAGGTCTAAGTGTTAGGGAGCCAGTAGTACGGTTGGCGAATCCTGTTACTGTTTTGACAAGTTACAATAGAGTTCATAGAAGCTCATTAATGATAAAGTACATGAGGGAGAAGAATAAAACAAGTTGGTTATGACTGACAGATAAAACAAAGAACCAAAAAAAGATTAAGGGAATAAGAATACAATGCACTGAAGTCTTTTTATTGAGAAGGAAGAAGCAGTTGTGATTTGGTAGTTCACTCCCTTGGTGTCAGACTCAAAATGAAAGAGTTTGTGGATTTGAATGTCTGGTTTGCCTTCTGTGCAGAAGGAGAAATTTGGAAATAGATTTTGTATGTAAAGTGTTGTCTTGAATACACTGAGATTTGTTCTGTAGCCGGACAAATGTAGCTTTATATTTTAATACCTTTACAATACAAATACAGTTCAATACCAGTAATGTATTGTGGAAATCACAGTGGCTTAAAATTGTGTGCTTCATGGACCTTTATTAAACCAAAACTATATAGTGTAGTAATGACAACAAAGTGGAGTTAATCGAGGAAGAAAATCCATAAAGATTGTGGAAGTTCTGTTGATTGTCTTCTGTTTTTCTTGTATCTTCTGTTTTGGACTTGCAGGTGTTGCGCTTCTGTAAAAGGCTTACTGTTTACTGATGCTACGTTAGAATCATGAAAGAAGTAGTTTTGATTAGGTAGAAGTATTTTAGGATTAGGGAGAGGTATTTTCATTCTTGTGAACTTGAATCTTTAACCAAACTTGGTCAGACTTTGAGCTTATAATAATCAGAATTTTTTTTTTTTTGGTGGTGTAAACAGTAGCAGACAAGAGCTGTTGAAGGAGAAGTCAGTAAATTAATTAATTTCCAACTCTTGTTGTTTTTCAGATTGTCCTTTGAATATTAATCTACATTTGCCTCATTATTTCAAAGTTTGTTGATAGTTTGGGTAAACGATGGCTCAGCTCCAGCAAGGAGGTCCAGATGAAAAAGAGAAGACCACTGCATTAAAGGGTATGAGTCTTTTTTGCCTTTTCTTTTACATATATTGACATTTCAGAAATTATTGTTTAGGAAAGGAAAATAATATGGTATAGTTATGAGTTAGAGCTTGGGAATTACAATACTAAAAGAGACTCTTAGTCCACCTGTGCTAATGCTTATGGTGTGTCCATTTATCAGTATTTTCATAAGATGGTATAAAGCATAATGATATATGGTAAGGAGTAACAGAATAAACTATTCATAGTTTAAAATTTTCATAATTGTTCTTTTAGATATTGACTGGCTTTTCTGTTCTTAGTTTTCAGAAGGTTTGATTTAATTTGTGTGATGCTTTTGTTTTATAGTTATACAACCATATTACAGCTTTTAAAAATCTCTTGGACTAGAATGCTAAAAGGGAAGAGGCTTTCAGGACATTGATATCCATATTGGTTTTATAAAGTTTCCTTTGTATGTTTTAAAAAATACACAGAGCTAAATGACTTAGGAGTAAAAATATTTTACATAAGTGGCATGTTTTGGTAGTGGCTTTCACTTTGGAAGTATATGAAGTTGGTTAGATCTACAAGTTAGTTAACCATACGTTGATTTAAAATGCTTGCATTGCACAGTTGTATTCTAAATTGTCTTTCAAAGGAGAAAAAATAACATAGCTTGCCACTCGAGTACATCCTGGATTTCTATCAAAGCATTATTAGAAAGCAGTGTTCCGTTACATGTGATGATAGATGGTGTTTCTTCAGTTGCTGCTGAGTTTGTGTGAAGTATTTGTTGAAAACCTGTGTAGTGCTTTTATAAGACTTTGTGCCAATTCTGTCCATTTAGTATCTTTTGAGAAAGCTATAGTTCAGATTTGGAAGTAAAACTCCCAATTTTATACATGGCATTAATTTGATTATCTTCAAGGATTAGTGTTAATGATGTGATCGAGTGATTTTCCATTTAGCTAGAGAAGGTCTCTTGCAGATCACTTAGTTTTCAGCTCTGTTGAACTATCAAATTGAGTTGGAAAGTCCAAGACCTTAGGTAAGAATGGTAGAGCAGATTTGGAAAGAATCCCAAAGTTGTAAGACATTTTAGATAAATTTAATTTGAAAAGTTGCACAAGAAGAAAGTGAACGTGTCAGTGGTTTCAACTCAGGTGCAGTTTTCCTTAGTGGCTGATGAAAGCTGTAAATCATGACAAGCTGTACATATTGTGAATAAGCATAATATACTTTGTATTTTATGGTCCTTGATACTCAGGAGACTGGGTTTTTTTTGTTGTATAGTAAGTGACACTTCTGTGTAAATACATCTCAAAATAGATAATGGTAAGATGCTATGGAAATTCAAGTGAAATTAAATTCCAGTGATGCAGTGTGACTGGAGTCTCTTCACCAATGAGAGAAAGATGTGCTAAAGACTGTTGCTGCCTTGATTTTGTCAATGTACAAAGGAAGAAAGGACACATTTTTTACATCCTGTTGTGGGAGTCTTCTTTGACAAAATTCTTTTATTTTTCTATATCATTTGGTTGAGAACCAAAGGAGCTTCTGCAGAACTTCCAAAGGACAGTGCACAAGAACAATCACATAATTTTTTGCATGAATTGAATTTCTTGGGACTTGCTGTTAAATAGATGTGATGTAAAAATGAGCTGTGGCTGAGAAAGACAGATTTAGAATCATCCAATCAGTATGTGGTGTTATATAGACATTTAGATACCACAGAGATACTGAGAAGCCATAGTACTTGTTGGAAAGATGCTGAATTTCAGCAACCATACCAGATGGCTTTTGTCCTCCAGCTTTGCCCAGTGGAATCACTCAGAGCTGGCAACAATCTGGAATAAATGTAAATGCTGGAATAAATGTAAAGTGAACTTGAAGAGTTGTAGAAGTGCAGGTCAAGGAACTCTCAAGAATGTTGAAGATAATTTTCAGTACATTTTAAACAGCAGAAATTTCAAAGTGTTGAATGTGTCAGTCCTAACCTTAGGTAATGTGGGTAGCCTACTGGCAACACGACCAAGCAAAAATAGTTGTACAGAATATAAAAATAATTGTTTAAGTACTACAAAGATGGAAGCATAGTTAATGCCAAATGAAACTTAAAGAAAATTAGTATTTTCAGACTTCTTTTTTTTGAGCTACAGTACTGGATAATAATAAAGGTAAAAATCCATATACTTAGAACATTTAATGTATTTCCTTGGTAACACACAGTATCTTGATTTATTAAATAATTATAGTTCAAAGTCAGTTTAGCACTGCTGAACAGACTGTTTGTGTGGTCTTCAATTTCATCTGACAAAGAAGTAGGAAAATGTATTTTGGTGAAATCCTGCTGAATTGTTTCTTGATTTTTTTTTGAATTAATAATCAAAAAATGTATTAGAAGTGTAGTGCACTGCATTGTGTGGAGATGAGGAGAGGAGAGATCATTGTACCCTATTACCTGTGTATGCAGTAATTGTTTGGTAGTTAAATGCAGATGTAAAGATGTCCCCATAAGTTTGCCTCTGGTTAAATGTAAATCCTTAAATCTAGGGTAAAGAATGTAGATTATGCTAATTTTAGTGTACATGCATTAGTGACTGTATGTAGGCTGTATGTAGGCTGTAGCCTACATACACAGAAAAGCATGTGTATGCCATGGCTTGCTATAAAGTGGATGGGAGTTTCTCTACCTTGAGAGCTATTAATGGGGGTGGTTGAGAGGAGGATTCAGACCTAACAGTCTGGGTATCAAAGGAGGGGCTGATGGCTGGTGTGTTCACACATCTGGTAAATGCCAGTGAGATGATGTGCTCAGATAATCTGAACTCCTCAAGAAGGCAATCAAGACACTATCAATCATTTAAAACTGAAGCTAGAGAACTTTATGTTGAAACCATGGTGCGTACCTCAGAGACTTATTTTCTAACACTGAGGTAATGAATCATTGAAACAAATTGCTGTGTCTTTGGTGACTTCCCTTTCTCTGGACATTTTTAGATTACTATAGAAATAAATAGGTACATAAATAAATAAGTAAATAAATGAATATGTATACAGGCAGTGACGTCCAGCTTTTGAAATCTGAACAGGATTTCCCATAACAGTGTCCTGTGTTTAGTAATACTGGGATATTCTTCTGCCTGTAAGATCTACAAATATCAGCAAACACTTTTTTTTAGTGTTACAAAGGAAATAAAAGAGACAGCATGCATTATGTATTTTTTTCTTTTACTTTTTTAGATTTATTGTCTAGAATAGACTTGGATGAACTAATGAAAAAAGATGAGCCACCACTTGAATTTCCTGATACTTTGGAAGGATTTGAGTACATTTTTAATGAAAGTAAGTTATATGTGCTTTGTAAAAACCATATGTAGAATAATGTTGAGTGGTTGTCAGAAGTTGAATTATACCTTATAAGTCCCTATTAAAATTTCATATTTTCCTGTTAGGATTGAAATTTTAAACTTCAGTGTTGATAGACTTGTAAATCTAAGACCTGTTTTTTATTTCATACAATTATCACAAAAATCCCTCATTTCATACAATGTTGTGGAGTTGTACTGGGCCTATTTTATGACTTCCTGTTTTCTGTTACAAAAGTGTTGATACAAAAATTCTGAAAGTAATTTCTGTAGCATTTGAAATCCGATTTAAAGATTGGTCATTCATTTAAGGAATGTTTTATTTCCTGATTAATTTTTATGGCTATAGAAGAAGTTGTTTTTCAGATGATAATTTGTCCCAGCTATTCCATTAATACCAACAGGAAAACACCTATGTATGTTGATCGAAGAATAAGCAATGTGATAGACTGTCTCTTCTGGTGTGGAACATAATTTTGCATTGCAGCCAAGTGTGTGATGCCTGCAAGCAAGTACTTCCAGCTAGCTCAGTCTCTGTGTTAAATGACTTAGTATTTATAATTTCCAGTGCATGCATTTTAAAATGCAGGTAAGAGATGAGCCTCTGAGCTAACGTAATACCAGACTGCAGGAAGTGACTCTTTCAAGACTGTTTAAAACCTGTAGAACAAATGGGAATGTTTACGATTTTACTTCTTTGCAGTGCCTGCTCTGTGAACAGAGGAACTTTAGTTTCTAAATCTGCCTGTTTTGCATCTTCCACTTTTAAAGAGAAAAAAGAAAAGAGCTTTCCTTTAAATGATAGTCATTTATGCAACACTTAGCTTTTTAATACCCTGATGGCTTTCACAGGTAGGTACTTAGAGACTAAGTGTCATGAAAGTGATGCTCTTTCTTTGATGGAAGGAGTTCAGCTCTGTCACTTTTCAGCTCCTTATTTTTAGATCTGCGCAGTGTCTACTGTCTTCCTTACTGACTTCAGAGTTAATAGTTCATATGTGGCTGATAAAAAGGGCTGAAATTTGAATTTTGGGGAATGAATTATGTTACTGAATATTCCATTACTAAACCTCACAGCCTGAGTGATTTCTTTAGAATGGAGGAAAACCTATTACATATGCTAAGAGTCAGCAAAGCAAAAAAGTCACCATTTTGCTTTTGTACATTTAATTCAAATGTTTAGTCGTGTATTTTTATGTCTTAATCATGCTTGTTTTTATGGTGGAAAAGTACAGAAGCTTGTTAGATTATTTAAATCTGAATAAGGCAGGGGTTCCACAAAGTCAGAGGAAAAATATAGGAGATATTTGTTACTTGTGGTGAGAGCCAGTTCATGTGCTGTTGAATGGCATATTTGAAGAGTATGTATCTGAGAAGGAGCAGCTGAAAGTAAAGGTATTATGAAAAATGTGAGAAGGAGAATGCTTGAACCCAACATTGGGATAGGAAACTCTGGAGAACTACTTCCATAGTATCCAGTACATGAGGTAAGGCAGGTCTAGAAAAAAAGTTAAATGAGCAGATAAGCATAACTATTATAGACACCAGATCTTAAGTGTTTTATTTAGAGCATCAGGAAATAAAGTTTAAAAGTTCTGTAAATACATCAACCAAGCGTTTTTTTTCTATTCAAGAGGAAACATTACAGAGAAACCTTTGTTTCAGCATTCAAAGTTTACTTGCACATATGACTGTTTTTAGTGTTTCACTTACATACTGCAGTTTTCTAATGCTCTGAGATCATCACTTGTGTTTTGTCTGATAGGCTGAAACATTGTTGGTAAAATATTTGTTCTTGTAGTTGGCTTTCTACTGGTTGCCATTTTATTATTATCATTGTTTTAACACAGCCTGTGTCTTCACAAGTGGTCAGATTTGCTGTTAACTTTGGCTATAAACAAGGCCAACTACAGGAAGTTGAGAGCAAAAGTAGCATGTGGTTTTGCTCTAAACAAGCATTCTGCTTTATTCTACTGTTGTAATCTCAGTGTACCCTAAATCTAGGAGGTCTTACCTGATTTCATGTTGGAGTTAAGATATTTTTCCTAACTGTGGACATGGTTCTTTTCTGATTGGCTTAGAAAGTTGTTAGGCTTGAAGAAAAATCTTTCCCTTACTTCCAGTTTCCAGCCCCTTATGTATTTGCATTTCTTTACAATGCAGTTAGTTTTGAAGTAGAGGATTTGTAGCTACAATTCAATCACCTGCAGATCAAATATTAACTGCTAATGTTTACATTTCACTGTTAATTCATAGCAGTTGAGACGTAAATATGTTTTGTGAAGTACTCTGGCATTTGATATCTGTGTGCAATTTCGCTGTCATAATTTCTGTTTAGCTTAATCTAGCGGTATATATGATAAATGCAAGTGCAATTTTTTTATGCTACATTTGTTTTCTGTTAAAAAACCTATAACCAGAAACGAGGAGGAATTCATAATAGCTTGATTTTTAGATATAGACTTATGTTTAAATTTTTAGCAGTTGAGTGTGCCTTACTTTTAATGAAGAAGGATATTAACTGGATATTAATGATTTTGTTTCTTTTACAGAAGGGCAATTAAGACACATTAAAACTGGGGAGCCATTTGTTTTTAATTATCGTGAAGATTTGCATAGGTGGAACCAAAAGCGCTATGAAGCCCTTGGAGAGGTACATAATTAGTGTGTGTGCATGCATGTATATATATCTCTGTGTGTAGCATTTAAATATATGGACACATTTAATATATGTGTGTATATATTTGTGTATATGTGTACATATATGTACATACACACATATATGTGGATGTATATATGTGTGTATGTGTTCATGTGCTATGCGTTTTGTTCTACCTGTTTCTCTGTAGAAGTGATATTTTTGCATACATTAATAAAGTTTTAGTGTGGTTCCAGTCATTTAGTAGAAAGTATTTCAGGATTTACTGCATATTAATGCTCTAACAGTAATTTCTATTGTTTGCTATATAGCTTAGGATGTGATTTAGGTTACTGTTTGACTTTAGTATATCTTCATAATAGAATATAATCTACCTACATAAGTCAGAATATTATACAGTGCAGTATTTTTTTAACCTTAGTCACTTCATGGATTACAAAGCTGTGACAATTTTCTTTTTGGCTGAAGATAAATGCATTGGTTGATTTTTTCATGTTACCAGGAGATAACAGAAAGCACTAAATAAAACAGAAATCTGAAGAATGAATTGGTTATCTGTTAGTGTATTACATATTTGGATGCTATTGGTACTTCCTAGGCAGTTCAGCCCCCCATAGCTACCTGCTCACTCCTCACTGTGGAATAGGGGAGAGAATCAGAAGGGTAAAAGTGAAACATTCACAGGCTGAGTTACAGTTTAATAGGTAAAGTAAAAGCTGTGCACACAAGCTTTAAGAAAGAAATCTTTAAATTTCTTTAATAAGAAATCAATTCACTTTACATCAACAGGCAGATGTATAGCCATCTGCAGCAAATCAGGGCCTGTTCGTGCATAATGGTGCCTTAGGAAGAAAAGTGCCTTATCCATACAATCCTGGAATGGGTTTGGGTTGAAAGGGACCTTAAATATCATCTAGTTCCCGTAGGCAGGGATACCTTCTACTACATGAGGTTACTTGAAGCCCTGACCTTGAAGGCTGATAGGGATGTGGCATCCCCACCTTCTCTGGGCAAAGTCTTCAGTGCCTCACCACCCTCGTAGTCAAGAATTTCTTCCTAACATCTAATTGAAACGTACCTGTTTTTGCTATTGCCCTTTGTCCTATCACTCCATGTTCTTGTCAGTAGTCCCTCTCCAGCTCTCTTGTAGCCCCTTTACTGAAGCTGCTGTAATGTCTCCCTGGAAATGTCTATTCTCTGGATTGAGCAACTCAAACTTACTCAGCCTGTGCTCATAGGAGAGGTGCTCCAGCCCTCTGGGGGTGCTCTGTGCTTGCTTGCTCAGCCACGGTTTCATTTGTGTGTCAGCCTGGGTTCGCTGCTGGAGCTGCCCAGCTGTTTGTCCTGCCAGAGCTTTGTTACCAGAAATTGATGAAGCTTGTTTTTTACCTTCTCCTCCTCATTCCTGCCAAGAACTGTGGCAGTGAGTAGAAAGTGAATGGGACTATTGCAGGTGCTTCTCACATCTTTTCACTTTGTATACTTTTCTGAAAAAAGGGATAGTGCTGTGTCTTGATACACATTTCTTCTGAGAGGAAATACTGTTGCATGGCCTGTATGTATGGATGTTTGTGTGTGTCTACATTGTTCAAATATTCCCATTTTCCAAATAAGTGAGTTGGACAGGACATGACTAAAGATCAGTATGGGCTTCCTGTGCCACCACACTTTCCTGTGCATATTTGGAAATACACAGCAAATTTCACATTCTGTGCATCTGAAAAATGTGTGTAAATATCTTCAACACACAGGTATGAAAAACTTTTTGTGATTTTTTTGGTGTACTTGTTCTGGGACCAGGGATCTTATATCTGTGATCTGTATTGTGTATTTTGCCTTAGTTATAGTCATTCTCCGTGTTCCAGTTTGAATAATCTTTGAAAATTCACTTTGTTTATATTGGTAGGTAAAGGACAAGGAAGGCTTAAGGTCAGGTATCTGACAGAGAATTGTTCTAAGTTGTCTGTTTTGTTTTTTTAGAGGAAAAAAAAAACTTCATTTTTGTTTCAGTCTTTTTCTATTAGGTGCTCGGTACACATAATTGTTCCCACAAGCCCCAAATTTATAGATGTTCCATTGTCTGGATTTGATGTAGTTATTTGGGAACACAGGAGATGCTGATCCTTGGCATTTATTCACATAACTAAAATCTCGTTTTTTGTCCTAAATTAGTGAGTCACTGATGCAAACATTGAATAATACTGGAGTGGTATATCACCCTCTGATAATCTGTTTTGTAGTCTAAGGTAAAGATGTGTTCAGCAAACTGTGGTAGCTTAAGAAACAGTCACTCAAATGATATGTAAAATGATGTAGTAAAATCTGGCCTTAGGCCTTTGCTTTGAAACATTATCCTTTGGTTGTAGGAGTTCTTTAATGTGCATTTAGGATTCAGTTATGTAGCTTGTCATCCAGTGAGATGATGAAGTAGCTATATTTGTATCACTGAACAAAATTGTTTTATGTATTCGGTGTTTCCATTGTTAGCTCAGTCATTGCATGCTGGTTTTCTGATTTTTAAAGGATACATACATCCTGCACAAAACCACTTTTTTACTGTGCATATACATATATATATATTAAAAACAGTTATATATATATATATATATATATATATATATATGTATGTTGTGGGGTGTTTTTAATGTGTTTTATTCATTTTAAGAAGTGAGTGTACTCTCTGGCCTTATAGTACCAGCATCATTCTCTTTTTCTTGGAGCATTAATTTCAGTTTGGTTCTCCATGGGGTTTTTTTTGCTAATAAAAGTCATGAAGATACTGTCTGTGATGTTCTGCCATTTTTCTGATTGTGTGGAAATGGGTTCTTCAAAAATCAAAGTAGTTTGTCTACATCTCCTCTCCTTACATCTTTTTATTGTTCATTCACTGATCAATTATTTCAGGCACACAATTTTTTTCTGCAGCTTTTTGATATGTGTTGTTAATAGATAATTTAGTGAACTGTTAATAATTTTGTGATTCTGGTTCAGTCGTTGCTATTGTGGCATTGGATTTTGTAGAGAGCCTCTCTATTTGCTTTTTAAAAATTAAAATGGCAGCAGAAGTGCATAGAACATAGTGTTGCAGCTGCTTCGAACTGATGATTAATCCATGTGGCAAGTTCTAAGTATGATTGAGAAAAATTTCGTGACAACAGCTTAGTTGTTGCAGACTTTAATTGACTTTCTACTTTTATACTCATGTAGTATCCAGAGTATCCCTAGCATCAGAAGGTGGTTATTGTCTGTTGCTTTGCCTGTATCTTACAGCCTAAAGGCAATTATAATTTGTTGATTACTTGGACGCCATTGAACACTGGCATTAATATTTTTGGGAGTGCCTTCACTGATGAAGAGACTTTTACCTGTACTGACAGCTTACTTTTCTACCAATGTCTTAGAAAAGCCAAAGAGGATTTGTAAATATGTAGATTATAATGTGGACCATGACATAAATATCTCTGCTGTGATCCTATTCAAGTTAATGCCATGTCTTGTAATTGCAACCTTTCTGACTGCAAAAGTCTGTAGGCAGGTAGCAAAATAATTAAGATGGTTTTTTGCAGTCACCATTGTATAATGTTTTGTATTTATGTAGAACAGATATGTAAAGCAGAGAAATTGAACATTTAAAGCAGAAATTCCTGGTGTCATGTGTGATAACAGTTAATTTTATGTCATCAGAGAAGTCTTATGCCACTAGAAAAACTGCTTTAAAGTATGTTCACAAGTGTTAGATCCAGCTTATCACAAAGTAGATTGCCATCAAGGTTAATATTTGAGTAGTATGTGTGGCATAAGTATGTAAAATTATGATCTTGACAACCCACAATTCAGATGGCTAAGAGTAAAATTGGATTTTTATTTCCAGATCTCCTTTAAGTTAAAGAACAGCTTGGTCTCAACATGATTTAAAAAATAAGCGTTCACCTGCTACTAATTTCCTCCTTGGTTGCAAAGATCATTATATATTTTGATGACTGAGAGGCTATTTACATAGCACAAATGAAAGCATAGAGCAGCAGAAGAGGACATGTAAGTTAATGAAGAAGGAAGCATTAAGTAGTCTGCATTTGAAAGGGTAGCTTCTTGTATGAATAACCCAAAATCTGATGATAGGCTGCACGTGCACCTGATAGTACTTAAGGTCCAATCTTGCAGCCAAAGCTCATGTGAATAAGCTCAATAGGTCTATCTTGTGAATAAGGGCTGCAGGATCAAGTTTCAAATAAAATGTGCAGATTATTAGTAGAAATCCTTGCACTCTTAGTTTCAGTTTCCTTGCAGTTTATCACTGAACATTCCAATTTTTTCTCTGGCTAGCAATGCTTTAATATAATATAAAGTACATGCTTCACAATATGGATCAAGGAAAATTGCTTGTGTACCTAGATTTCTTAAAATTTCTTATAGATTTCTTATTTGCTGTTGGTTATTTATTGTTTAGAAAAACTCTTAATGAGTCAACAAAATAAATTTATAATAATGTAACATATTGTTGGATTCCTGAACATTTGCCTTTATGGAATGCCTGCTTGGCTTGGGCTATTGAAGAGGTTTTTCTGTTCAGATATGAGATACCAAATACTTAACAGGTGTCTGTGGAGCATGTGTGAATTGAATTTTTTCAGTGTCTTGTATTACAGCCAAATAAGGGTGAACTTCCATGGAGATAGCACAAAGGCTCACTAAAACTCCTGTTTCACAGGGAGAGTGAAAGCATCTAATTCAAATATCTCCCGTCCTTATTTTTGAAAACGGTTAATTTCTGTTTTGTGTCATCTCCTTTGATAGTGCTGTTTCTCTGCAGGTTATGCCCAATTTTGGTGGTTTAGGAGTGGTACTCCAGTTCAGTGGTTCCACTGAGGCACTCCAAACTGTGTGCTGCTCCCTTCCTTCCCCCTCCCTCTCTTCCTCTGTGATAGAATGGAGAGAGTTGGGAGCCAAAAAAGTAAATATGATGGGTTGACATAAAAACAGTTTGCTGGAAACAG